CGTCCTCAGCGCGGGCCCTGGCTGGCATTCAACAATCATGGTGTTCAGTCTGGCAGGAACAAGAGTGGGTAAGGGTCTACACTCCTGGGCAACCTCAACGATGGCACCCGGATGATGACGTACCTGTCCTACCAGAGAACACTTTTCGAGTTTGGAAACCGGTGGTCTCGCCAAATGAGGAAACTCGGTCACGATGCGCATGATCACTTGATTCGCAGACCTTTGACTCCCCATAGTAACAAGCCCGTGTATAGTCTCCTCTTCTTCCTGAGCGACAGACTTGCCCTTCTGGAGGCCGAGGGGGCCACATCTCACGCGTGATCCACCAGATGATTCAGGATGAGTTGCGCACTGCGACGCAAACCGTGGACGTACGCAAGCGATGAACCTCCACTTTCGCCGGCCACGCCCACTTCTCTTGTCCGTGAATTTCGTGATGACATACCTTGGACCCCACAGGAGCTCGAGGACCTCACGAAGCGCAAGTCTGACGCCAAGTCCAGACCCAGTTATGATGCTTTGGGCAAGGTCTTCAGAAAATCAGCAGCCAACGTCAAACATCAATGGCGCAGCATGCGACCCAGCGCCAAGAAGGACTAGACGCTCCATTGCCTTTGTGGGTGCGTCAAAAAGGACCTCCTGGAAGCCGCCCTCATCATCATTTTTGGCGTGCCCGATCTCATGCGCGGGGGTTGCATTTTCGACAGCAGGACATCAGCGGCTTCTTCAACTCCGTTGAGCACGACCGTATCATTTGTTGTATTGAACGTCTACTACAGAGATTTATTCAGCAACAACGCCTCCCCACGGACTACCACTTCAGCGTCCAGGTGCAGCAGAAGCATCGACTTTCTCGTGTATTCCGAGGAGCGTGGCGGCGTGAAACATCTTCACGCGTTTTCCACCTCTCCCACGTGCCAGATTTGGTGCGCCTGATCCTCCGCACATCTCTCGCCCGGGTGGGCGTGACCACCATCTATGCAACCCCTGCGCTCCGGCTTTGTGGGAGCAGTGGCGGCACTATGGGAAGTCTCTTTCACGAACACTGCTGCATCCGACAACCTCAAGCATCAGTGGTCACGGACTTGCTCTACGTTGACAACCGTTTCGTGCACCACATCGCAGGCGACGAGTTACATTGGCCATGGCGTTTCTTTTTCCACCCCTTCTTCTATCGACCACCACGTGGATGGGTTTCCGCATCAACCACTCCAATCATTCCATTTTCATGAAAGTTCCCACCGACGGACAGTTTTCGCTCCGGGCACGTGCCCTTTTAGCATTTCGCTTCACAAGACCCCGCAGCGCCATCCAGGACACCATCCAGCAGCTCCAGGCGCAGTACTTGCGAGCAGGCCTTCCGCGTGAGCTTCTCCTAAGTGAGACCCGGAAACTCGAGCACCGATTTCATGTACGCAAAACAAGCGCCCTTTTGCCTTTTGCTTTTGTTGCTTTTGGTTGGTTCCTGTCGTGCTGCTTGATGAAACCACTCAACGCACTGACTTCTTCAATTTTGTCAACCGGGTTTTGCCACCTGCCCTCTTCACGGACGCCATGGCTTGGCCCTTCACACACCAGACACTCCGGCGTCACGAACACCTTCTCCTCGACGACGACTTTCCCGTCTTCGTTTTGCACCTCTTCCAGCCGGGGACCTTCATTTTCCAGGACAAGCAAGCTGAAAAGGCCAAAGCAGAGCAAGAGGAGGCCACAAAAAAATGATGAGGTTTGTTTTTATCCTGAGTACCCATATGCAGCGCGTTAGCTTTCATCAGTTTGTACATTTTGAGCTTGGAGTTTCACGTGTATGAACAGTTTGACGTTTTGCATCGCTAGGCGTTTGTATGCTCGAGGAAAAAACAATCAGCGGTTTCCTGATGTCCGAGAAGCAGCAGGTAGACAACCTTGACCAGTTAGGCTTTCTTCGCCTTGGCCTCAACGACCGCAATCAGCCTTTTTTAGATTTTCCAAGTGTCTTTCAGCTGTTTCTTTCTGCGCTTGATTAAAAAACCGAGCCTGCTGCGGACTATCCCTTGCGACCCCCGGGAATTGTGCTTTTTTGGCCCCCGAGAGGGGGCGTGTGTGTGTAAACCCTGACGTCCGGAAAGGGTCTGCTTCGGCAGTGAGCTTTTTCTGTTTTCTATTTCGTGGAGTCTGCCCATGCCAGCAAACCGGCCCCCTTTCTTAGTACCTCGTTGCGGTAGTCATGGGCACTGACGAGTAGCCGCGGCGAGCGAACAGATCGGGAAGGTAAGCTGACGAAACTCCACCCAGTTCTCTTATTTGATTACGACTCCAAGGAACCCTGAGCTCCTTCGTGTTCATGCTTGGCCCCCTCATGGCGCTCGTCTTGTGAAAGCCCAAAGTCCCGCCTTAAGTGGCTCACGGAATAACAGGCCTTATGGCAACAGTGTGCGCGTGCGCGCGAGCGTGCGCGCACACGCCGCGTGTGTGCGTCTGAGCGTGTGAGCGTGTGTCAGCGTGTGCACCTTTGCGTGTGTGTGTGTGTGTGTGGGGGTGTGTCAGCGTGTGCGCCTTTGCGTGTGTGTGTGTGTGTGGGGGTGCGTGGGTGGGCGCGCGTGTGCGTGTCTGGGTGTGCGTGCGTGAGAGTGCGTGTGTGCCCGCGTGCGCGCTTGTCTGCAGGTGCGCGTGGGCAGGCGGGCGGTGAAGGGGACACGGGGGACAATGACGGGAAGTGTGGATGGAAACGGATAGCAAGTGGATGTGTGTGTGTATGTGTGCAAGTAAGGCCGTGTATGTATGTTGCTGTGGTTGTTGTTGTTGTCCCTCGTGCGCCGGCCGCGCGTGTGCGTGCGTGTGTGCGTGTGCGTGTGTGCGTGTGCGTGCGCGTGCGCGTGCGTGGGTGTGTGTGTGGGAGAAACGCGCGCAGTCAGTCCAAGCAAGGGGAAGGCAGTCCGAAAACAATACTGCGTGAGTGGGTTACATGGCGGGGCTGCCGCGGTCGGTTGTGCGCCAGCAACGTAAATCCGGCTACGCCTCCTGGGGTGTCCTCGGGTCAATCCCCTCGGATCGCGCGCTGAGGGCATGAAACTGTCTCTTCTGTTCTCTTCTGTTCTGGCAGGGGGCGGGTTGATGGGGGGTGATGATGACGTTAGCCCCAGCGAGGGGGTCGGCGGCACTGGGCAGCAGCCCTTACATCCGGCTACGCCTCCTGGGGTAGCATGTCGCCGCTAGGCAAAGCTTGCTAGCTTTAGCTGTAGGGGCCTGCGCCCCGGCGCCGCCGACCCTCGCCACTTGGTCGTGATGCTGCCTAAATCCGGCACCTCTGCATCACCAGCTCGGGCTTGCGGTTTTGCGCGCCTGTGGGAAACCCTTGCAAAACATCGCGTGTGCGCAGGGTTTAGGCCATGTGGCTGACATCATCAGTGTCTGGGGTTGGGCCTGGGCGATGCTTCGGCGGGGCTTGGTCTGCATCATCAAGACTTCCTTCAAAAAAGCCTCTCAACCCATGAAGCACTGTTTTTTAGAAGGTGTCGGAGGGATATAAGCGAGGCTCATTTTTGCGCATTTTGGCGCCAGCCTTCTGGCGCGCGCGCGGCCCCAGCCACAAAACGCTGCTATGTATGGTGTGTTTTGTTGCATTTGCGTTTCCGAGCTGGCTTGTTAACTGCTCTTTTTGGGCTGCTGTTTCTGGGGCCTCTGGCGCGCGCGCGTGACCCCATGTCAGCCTTCTGGGCTGGGGCCCGGCTGGGGCCCAGAAAGCTGGCATCCCCGGCATCATCTGAGGTTCGGGTGGGCAACATGCACAACCCAACCAGCCATATCATAGCACATGACATTTCTCATACAAAAAGCATGACATGGTATAACTTCAAATAGGCGTAGCCGGCTAGAGCCGCAGGCGCAGACAATAACACATCTTCCTCTCGTTTTTTCTTTTCTTTCTTTTCTCTCTTTCTGTTTTTCTTTCCCTCTCTTTCTCTTTCTTTTTCTCTTCCCTGTGCCTCATTTCAGCTCTCTTTCGCCTTCCTCTTTCTCTCTTCGTCTCTCTCTTCGCCTCTCCTTCCCTTTCTCGCCTTTCTCGCCTTTCGCCTTCGCTCGGCCCGCGCCTGGGTCGCCGGCGGCGAGCTCGGCCGTGGCTTCCTCCAAGCCCCGGAGGCGGGCCGCCAGGCGCTCGGCCTCCCCCTGAAGAAGAAACCTAGAAAAGAAGACGAAAGAGAGAAGAAAGGGAAGAAAGGGAAGAAAGGGAAGAAAGGGAAGAAAGAGAGAAGAAAGGGAAGAAAGGGAAGAAGACGAAGAAAGAGTCAGAAAGAAGAGAAGCTCAAAAGTCCAAAAGAGTTCCAAGTAAGGAAAAGAAGTTCAGAGTTCAAGCAAAAGAAGACGAACAGGAAAGACGAGAAGCAAATGCGAAAGAAGCAAAAAAAGCAACGCGACGGTGCGCGGCAAGGAAGAAAGAAATAGACAAGAGAAGACGAAAAGAGAAGCACGCAAAGACCTCTCCAAAACATCGGAAGCACAAAGCAACACGAAGCGGACAGGAAGAAAACAGTCGAGTTGGACGGATAATAGCAAATATGAGGAAAGAAGTTGTGAGGAAAAATTGGGACATGAAACAAGCGGGAAAATAGAAGGAACTTAGAATGAGGAAAAAACAAGACGCGAGATGAGAGTGCGGGAATGGCGGAAAATTGCGGACAATTGACGCTGAGACGAGATGATGAAACATGCACACGGGAATGTCATGAACAAACGACACAGAGTCAGCAGGGGAAGAAGTAGAAAGAGATGCAAAAGAACTAGTCAACAGTATGGAGCTGCGGTTGCGTGCCAGAATGCCAAGAAAAAACTGCGAACAAAACGGCAAAGACCAGATCCCCAAGTATCGGGTAGGTGGAGGTTGGGTTGGGTTTGGGATGGTGAAGGGTTGGTTGATGGTTAGGGCTTCGGGATTGTGACTGCGAGGGTTGGTTGTGGGTTGAGTTGTCTGTGTGTTGAAGCGCAAGGCTGCGAGTTCAGGGGCTGGAAGAGGGGGTCTGGGGACCGGAGCAGAATGGCCTGGGGATTGGACAAGATAGGTGCAAAAAAACAAAGACAAGACAAGAGTTCACAAAGGAGGGTCGGCGAACCTGGCACGGCCGCGCCCTTTTCACTCCCTGTCTTGCAATGCCTCCGTGTAAAACGCAGTCACTTTTACTCCTTGCTCTTTGGCAGTCTGGACCAAGTTGTCCGCAGACCTGACGAGAAGCATTTGGACATTCAACGCGCGCGCGCTCCGTCTGCAAGGAGGCGGCTCATTGCACAAGGGCGCGAAAGCAACCAGCTGGTTGATCTTCTGGAGCAAGCCCCTGGCATTCACGAGATGCAGCGCTGCACTTAGCTGAGACTGCATTGGCAATAAGAGAGCGGCCTGTGGCAAACGTCTGCCGCCTCCTCAAACACTGACCCTGCAGCTGACTCGACCTCCAAAGTGTGCATGAACGGCATGAAAGCGCGTAGTCAGGTGCCCAAGTACTCGCTGATCAAAAAGCAAGATGAAAACTCCCTTGCCAAGGTGCAATATTGACGCCAGCATCAGCACATGTGTTAAGGAGTTTCTTCAATTTCGCATCTTGCTGGGCCAGCGTCTGCGGAAGAACAACCTCATCCCCGACACAACGTCAGTTATGTCACGTGTTCTTGGCTGCGTTTCAAAGCTTGCGCAGGCGCACGCATCATGAACGCAATCCTCACGCCCAGCCGCAGTGAGCTGATCCGGGCGGCCCTGTTTGAGAACTCCCTTGATAACCGCCGCGTTCGCTTGCACAGAACCAGATGTATAGATTGAGTCCCCATTGAGCGCCCGAGCTCCGCTCAAGATTTCTATCCTGCCGAAATTGTCCCATCTCAGCACGGGGGCCATTGCGTGCCAGCATTTGCCGAGGAGCTCTTTCTGCTGGTTCAGGGCGCACTCATGCAGGCACAGGATCGCCACATTTTGTTCTGCACCCCGGGCCTGGTGGAACGCACGCGCAAGTGCCCAGACTCTTCGCAAATGTTGCCTTCAACGCCGCTCTCAAACACACGCGCGCGACCAAACATGGCGCCTGCAAGCTTCTTTTTAGCGTGTCTCCGCTGTTCATGTGTGTGTGTGGGTTTCTTTGGGTGCGCTCGCGTTTGCGATTGTAAAAGTATTGCGCTTGTGGGGTTGTTAATAGATTGCTGCTTGCGTGCGTTGATGTTCGGCTTGTCGCGTGTGCTGGCATTACTGTAGTTGGTGATCTCGTTTGTGTGCGCTCGCGTGTTGCACAGTCGCCCAGTGGTGATGGTGTGTGCGCTTATATAGCCTATATACGTGTAAGTGCTTGTGCCCGCGTCGCTGCCTTCACGCCTTTCCGAGGCACGTGCTTGTCCTCAAGCACATGCGTCCCTGTGCACCTTTTTTGCCTTTACATCTGAAACACTGTGCGCCGCGCGTGGGCCTGCTAGAGAATGCTGACTCTCGCCGCATTTGGCCTGAACGGGTTCATACTCAAAAGCTGCCGCCGGAGTCCGGAGAGAGGACGAAGACGCCCGGGACGCCCTCCGCCATTTCTTTGCCCAAGAAAACGCCAGCAGACCGTGGCACCTCATGACAAAGTCAGCTCAGCCAGGCACTTGCGGGACTTGCGCAAGCTGAGCCCAGCTCAACCGCAGTATCCGAGAAGTTCGGATATGAAACTTGAAGACTTCCTTGGAAACGCAGGCCCGCATTGAATGGAGAAGCTACACATTGCATAGGCCTCAAATAGCAAAAATACATCGTAGTGCGTATCACAAAAACAATGGTGAACTTTAAGGCTCATAACAATACACCAACCGCCCACCAACAACTTGCGAATGCGTGACAGCGATCTAGTGCCTAGGGAACATGAAAACATCACCGCGCAAAAAGACAGGAAAACGTGCAACGCAAGGTTCCCACCGTGGCATTCGAGACAGCTTCGATGGCAAGACAAGCTTTGTGTCCTGCGCCTGGGCCAAAGAAATTTGAATCTGGCCTCGGGCGCTTTAGTCTTCTTCAGAATTCCAACGTAACTTGCCTGAAAAATCAAGCTCTACGCCCTTTTCGCAATTCAACATCGGCCTCGGCATTCATTAACATAGTGGCTTCTGATCAATGTCAGCGCCACGCACGCCCCCCCGCGCCTCACGAACTGCCGCGCAGGCTACCTGACTCTGTCCCTCTCCCTCTCTCCTCGCACGCGTTTCTGCGACCTGACGCCTTCATGATTTGGTATGCCCAGGATCGCTCTCTCACAAATCATTGGTTCATACTACTCTTTGGGGGAGTGCGCCAACAAGTTTGTTGAGTTTTATGACAATTTTGGTGAGCGCCTTGCCATTGCTAGTCTTGCGAATCTTGCTCTTGCACAACACCTCAAGAAGTGTTGGGATAGGAATTTGGGTGAAACTCACCAGCCTGCCGCTCACAAGGCGCTGGAAGCATGGCGCCGCCCATTTTCGGGCTAACAGCCTGACTTACCACATTACCTGTTCGGTGAAGCCGCATGCAAAGCGAAATCGGGTTCTGTTTCTGCGTGGCCGAACTCTGAAGCCAAAGCTCCGGCAAACACTGCGGGCAACCGACGAGAATCACAAACGTGTCTTTCAAACCCTGCCTGTTCGTGGGCAATTCCTGCTCGAACCGCATGCGCCTGAACAGGCGCTCATTTCAGCGTGGCCAACGCAAAGTTGCAAGCATTTGTGACACCGGCAGCGCGCAATGCGTCCTCTTCCACCAGCGGGTCTTGAAGTTCAAGCGTCATCTTCCTCGCCTCATCCTGACGTCTCCTCAACCCTCTCATGGCCGCATTCTCTGCGCGCACTAGAGAATCCTGAGGGCCAAGAATGCAGAACGCGTTTCTTCAATTCTGAACAGCGAAATGCACCCGACCCCAAACACAACGACCTGCATCTCAAGGCCATCCCCAACTATGCCGGAACTAATCAAAGGAAGTTTAGAAGAACTTCCGTGTTACGGCAACTAATTGAAAGCTAGCTCTCTCAGACAAATGACAAGAGAAGGAATAAGCCCGCGAGGAAAAATGCGCGCACATGTGGCAGGGGAAGAGAAAATCGCAAAAAAACATGGCCCTGTGCGTGAATCGGCGTTTTCGGAGATGAGAAAGTCGCAAAAAGCGTGGCGCTGTGCGTGAATTGGCGACTCCGGAGACGCGAAAGCTAGCCTGTCCGCGGCGTCTGGTCGGAGCGGGTTCGGAGCATGCTTGGAGCGGGCTCGGATCACGTTCGGCGCCGGGACCATTGGCACGGCAACGCAGAGGTTTCGCAGGGTTTGAATTGCGTGGCAGGAGCAGCATTTTGGCAAGGTCGGGCGCAGATTTCGTGGCAGGCGCAGCACTTTCGCAAGGTCAAGTTTTCCCAAGGATTGAATTGCGTGGCAGGCGCAGCACTTTCAACAGGTCAGGTGCAGATTTCACGGCAGGCGCAGCACTTTCAAAAGGTCAAGTGTAGATTTCGTGGCAGGCGCAGCACTTTCGCAAGGTCAAGTGCAGATTTCGTGGCAAGCGCAGCACTTTCGCAAGGTCAAGTGCAGGTTTCGTGGCAGGCGCGGCATTTTCGCAAGGTCAAGTACAGATTTCGTGGCAGGCGCAGTACTTTCGCAGGGTCAAGTACAGATTTCGTGATGGGCGCAGCATTTTCGCAAGTTTAGGTACAGATGGAGAGATAAATAGATAGATAGGTAGATAGATTAGATTAGTTAGATAGATAGATAGATAGATAGATTAGATAGAAAGTAGAAAGAAAGTAGATAGAAAGTAGATAGATACACAGATAGATGAAAGGAGAGAGAGAGAGAGATAGATAGATAGATAGAAAGAAAAATAGATAGGTAGGTAGAGAGATAGATAGGTAGATTAAATAGAAAGCAGATAGTTAGAGAGAGAGATAGATAGAAAAAAAGAGATAGATAGATAGATAGATGGATAGGTAGATATATCAAGAAGTAGATAGGTAGATAGATAAATAGATAGATCGATAGATCGCAACTTTTAAGTACGAAAGTAGTACGCGAAGTCCACTTTCGCCGCTGGAGCTCGAAAATCGCAACTTTTAAGTACGAAAGTAGGTGCACTTTCGCAGCCGGGGCTCGAAAATCGCAACTTTTAAGTACGATTATTGCACGCGAAGTCCACTTTCGCAGCTGGGGCTCGAAAATCGCAACTTTTAAGTACGAAAGTAGTACGTGAAGTCCACATCCGCAGCCGGGGCTCGAAAATCGCAACTTTTAATTGCGAAAGAAGCACGCGAAGTCCACTTTCGCAGCTGGGCCTCGAAAATCGCAACTTTTAAGTACGAAAGTAGTACGTGAAGTCAACTTTCGCAGCTGGGGCTCGAAAATCGCAACTTTTAAGTACGAAAGTAGTACGTGAAGTCCACTTTCGCAGCTGGGGCTCGAAAATCGCAACTTTTAAGTACGAAAGTACTACGCAAAGTGCACTTTCGCAGCCGGGACTCGAGAATCGCAACTTTTAAGTACGAAAGTAGTACGCCAGCCAGAGCGGCGCTCGGCCGCGAGCTGCGCGCCCGCGCAGCACGCACTGGCCCCCGACGAGGACTTTGTGCCAGTGTTTCCCTCATCGGTCAGCATGTGCTTTCAGTTGGATAGCGAGGGCCGCAGGGAGACGTGGCAGCTCTCCCAGCAGGAGGTCGCTCTGCTTCGCCGCCTGGAGGCTTGCGTCTCGGACACGCAGTGGCACCCATGCGCCATCGGCGTGGCGGAAAAGGCGCTGCTCATGAGGAACAACTGCCAGCTGGTTCGGCAGGCGCGTTGGAAGTGGTATCGACGGCTGACCGGCACGTGCAACATGCACGATCGCCACGGCGGCCAGCCGGTCGAGTTTCCGCCTCTGCTGGCAGTGCGAGCCAGCGTCCCAGACCGACGCAGACGCACGCGCTGCAACGCGCAGGCCGAGGTTCGGATGCTGACGTTCAACATGAACCAGCGCGACCCAGACGCCGAGTTTGCGGCGCTTCTGGAGGAGCTGGACGTGGCGTGCTTGCAGGAGGTGACTTCTTCATGCCTGGCTTGCCTGCACGCGCTGGCCGCAGCCTCCGGCTTCAGCGTGGCCAGCCCTGTGCAAAGAGGCCGCTGCAGCGAGGAAGGCTTCGACGTGTGCATCATGCACCGCGACAGCGTAGCGCGTCGGCTTCGTGTCAGTGTTTTGCCGGTGGCGGGCCCCTCGCAGTCGCAGCATGCTGCAAGTACACCTGCAGCTTTTCTTTTTTCAACGGGGCTTGAGTTTGTGTGTCCACGGCCCACTTGACTTCGTCGAGAGACAGCATGTCTCTGCGGCAGACAGAGCTCGCGTCGTGCTTCGCAAGAATGCAGGGCTTGGAAGTGGACGCTTGCATCCTTGCTGGCGACTTGAACATGCACGCCGGCGAGAGGCTCCCGTGCCGTAGCTGGGCAGATGCGTTCGAGGCCGCTGGGAGTCCGGCGGAGCACGAGGGCACGCGGGAGCCTCTGGAGCCAACAAGCGCAGCCCACGCGAGCAAGGTGTGGCGGCTTGACCGCATTTTATGGCTGCGCAAGTGCACGCAGCAAGACGAGGACGATGCAGTGCAGTGAAGAAAAAGAAAAAAGAAAAAAAGAAAAAAAGAAAGAAAGAAAGAAAGAAAGAAAGAAAGGAGGAAGGAAGAAAGAAAGAAAGAAACAAAGAAAGAAAGAAAGGAGGAAGGAAGGAAGGAAGGAAGGAAAGAAAGAAAGACAGAATGACGAAGAAAAAGCAAGAAACAGTGAAAAGGAGGAAGAAGAAGAGAACAAGAATCAAGACAAACAAAGAAAGAGAACTATAGTTTTTATATTTTTGAAACTTCCGCCCACCGGCTTCGCCGGCTCTACTGGTAATAATCAACCTAAGGATGAGGACTCGTGAAGGAGCAACCTTGTTGATCCTGCCAGTAGTCATATGCTTGTCTCAAGTCTAAGCCATGCAGCACCAATGGCGCCTAACGCCACGATTGAAATGTATATAACGAGAAATAAGAAACAAGAAAAGCATAATGATGATGATGATGATCGCCGTGATGATGAGAAAAATGACCATAAACACGATGACAAAGATGATGACTGTGAACTCTCGTCGTAGCATCCTTCGCATTACCAATGCTGAGCTCATGAGAGATGATGATGATCGTGAGGACAATGATGATCAGGATGAAGAATACGCAGATGACTATCATCGTAGCATGTTCTGCGTCGCCAACGCTGCCTAACGCCACACGGGGGGGGGTGGGTGAGTGGGTGGGTGGGTGAGCGAGTGAGTGAGCGAGCGAGTGAGTGAGTGCGTGGGTGGGTGAGAGTGGGTGGGTGAGAGAGCGAGCCAGCAAGTGAGTGGGTGGGCAAGTGCGTGAGTGCGTGAGTCAGTGAGTGAGTGAGTGGGTGAGTGAGTGAGTGAGTGAGTGAGTGAGTGAGTGAGTGAGTGAGTGAGTGGGTGAGAGAGCGAGCCAGCGAGTGAGTGGGTGGGTGGGTGAGTGAGTGAGTGAGCGAGTGAAAGAGTGAGTGGGTGAAAGAGCGAGCCAGCGAGTGAGTGGAGTGAGTGAGTGAGTGAAAGAGTGAGTGGGTGAAAGAGCGAGCCAGCGAGTGAGTGAGTGAGTGAGTGAGTGAGTGGGTGAGTGAGTGAGTGAGTGGGTGGGTAAGTGAGTGAGTGAGCGAGTGGTTGAGTGAGTGAGTGAGTGAGTGAGTGAGTGAGTGAGAGAGTGAGTGGGTGAGTGAGTGAGTGGGTAAGTGCGTGAGTGAGCGAGTGAGTGGGAAAGTGAGTGAGTGAGCGAGTGAGTGGTTGGGTAAGTGAGTGAGTGAGTGAGTGAGCGAGTGAGTAGGTGAGTGAGTGAGCAAGTGAGTGGGTGAGTGAGTGAGTGGGTGAGTGAGTGAGTGAGTGAGTGGGTGGGTAAGTGAGCGAGTGAGCGAGTGAGTGGGTGAGTGAGTGAGTGAGCGTGTGTGAGGGAAGGGAGGAGCTGGAGGAGGGAAGGGCGACGCAGGAAAGTAAGAACTCTCTAAGCGGCCCCCCTTCTATAGATTCGGCTTAAAGCCCAGCAAGGACCACAAACGGAACACACCGCCAACGCTCTTTTTCCTTGAGCTACGCAGGGTCCACGCATAGCGAGTACCGCAACACTTTGCACTTAATGTTTTCGAGGGCCAAATTTCACGCAAAAAAACACCCCTGTGTCCGAGAGTTTACCAAACACACCCAGCGGCGAGCTGTAGTCTCATGGCACTGGCTTTTGCGAGGCGCCTCTGTGGCCCAACGCGCTAAATCAAGATAAAGTGCCCGATTCTTCGATTGGTCGGTTCCTGTATTTGCCGATTTTTCGACTCATCAACCCTTCGATTCTTCGACCCCTCGCATCTTCGGTTCTTTGATTCTTCGCCTTCCTGGATTTTTCCACTCTTTGGTTCTTTGATTCTTCGACTCTTCGATTCCCTGATTCTGCAGTTCTTCGCCCGTCGCAACTATTCAGAAAATTCAGCTCCGACACAGAGACCTAAGGGCCGCTGTTGGAGAGATGTAACTTTTTGGACGATGAGGGACAGCTGGTGAAGCACGTTCAGAGGGAAGAACGGAATATGATCTTTGACCTCCAGATTCGCCGCTCGTCGGGAAGTTTGAAGTACGGTCTGCTTGCGCCTCTTCAAGCAAAATCAAATTTGGAGGCATCTCACCCCCGCAGAAAGAAGGTGACCTTCACATTGCACCGTCTGTCCTCATAAAGTTCAATGGCGCACGGTGTTAAGCAAACCCAAAACGCAAAACGTGAAACGTATCGTATCGACACGTGTTTCGGAACGTATGCCCGAAACGTAATCATTTTAATAGGGCCAGCAAGCAAAATTTCGAAACGCGAAACGCAGAGTCGTAGGATTTTTCGAAACGTGGCTTTGGGGTCCTGTAGGTGGAGCTAAGATATGCAGAGTTCTTGGTTTCGGAAGCAAAGGTCATGTACAAGAGCTTGGTATCACACCTGAATTCGATGCACTTGCAAGAACAGCAGAAGCATGCCTTGCCCTTTCACCCGAAGATCGTGAGCCGAAGGTTATCAAGCCTGTTGCCCAAGATTCGCTGTCCGATCCTTCCGATCCTTCCGCGAAACACACCCTTAGACAAAGCGACCCTGAAAAATGCCCCAAAGCAAGGGGACCTTTTAAAAGTGCCCCAAATCCAGTTTTGGACCCCCAAAGCTAAATTTGTAGGATTTTTGGTGGAGTGCGCCAACCCAAAGCAAGGGGGCCTTTTAAGAGTGCCCCAAATCCAGCTTTGGACCCCCGAAACTAAATTTGGGTGATTTTTTGGCGGGGTGCCACACGCGATATATGAATATCGAAGGCGGCTACGCACTAAGGCCTTGAGCCATGCATGCCTAGGGATTGGGGTCGAACTGTATGCGTTAAACCATCATCATGCAACACACACCTTCGAACACCCAGCATCGCAGAGTTGCAAAAACCTGCAAACGACTTGGTGAGCCTCAACCAACGCGATGAGACGGCAAAAATCAAGCTGCGCGGTCCTTCATGTCTACTTGGTCCTTTAACACTCTCTGCGCCAGAGCCTCCTCGTCGTTTCCAGCTGACCGTTGGAAGGAGCGCATAGCCGCCTTTTCAACCCGCAGCTCTGTCCGCACACTGTGCAGTTCGTTCTCCTTGGCTCTTGGCAGTTCTCTGCCTCTCTTTCTCTCTTTCTCTCGCCCTCTTCTTTTCGACATCTCACTATCTTTTTTTTTCTTTCTCCCTCTCCCTCTCTCTCTCTCTCCGCTCCGTTAAATTTAGTGGCTACTTTACAAGTGTGAATGGTGCTGATGTTGTCACAAACACAAATGTAGTTTCCCAGCATGTGCACCTTTTATGCTTGGGCAGCTCAAGGCCTCCGGGTAAGGTAGTATACATCATGCATGTACAAGAGACAGGTAGTACAGCATCACATTTGACACGGCCCCTTGGTTAAAAGACCCTGTAGTGTCTTTTCAACCAGGTCCAGAAAGGGGAAAAAGTGCAAAGGGCTCAAAGTAGTTCTGACTGCAAAAGGATCGAAAGTAGTACAACTACAGCTCTGCTGGCTGTAGTCCGCTGACTCTCAAAGATCAAAAAAGGCTGTAGTATGTGCAGGCTGATCTCAGTAGCTCTCCTGTTCAGGCCTCAGTAGTGGTACTGAGTGGAGTTCATGAGATACATCCCGTTGTAGTTTGGACCTGGAGGTCCAAAGTTGTAGTGAAGCTGTAGTGCTGCTTCACTGATGTAGCATCACCTGTAGTTAGGTGTGCTTAGTCCAATGCTGGACTCTGTAGCCTTGTTGCTGACCAGTGCGGTGGTCAAGGCTGGCGTAGTGGTTGGTAGTGAAGGTAGTAAGGAAGTCAGGGCCTCCTCGAAGACAAGTGTAGTTGACCTCTGGAGGTGGAAGTGGTTGTTGAAATGTAGTGAGGAGCTTGTGTAGTAGTAGTTTGTGCATGGGAAGATTTGTGGCAGTGAGTAGTGTGAAGCCGTAGTATGTGGAACTCTTGTGCATGATGGTGTTGATTGCTTTGTAGTGGTGATCCTGTAGTTGTTGTGGTTGGTCGTGGTAGCTGAGTAGTTCAGGAAGGTGAAGAGGCATGTGGTAGTTCCAGATGTAGTTGTTGGACAGGTTGAAGGTATTGGTGATCTGGTTCATGTCGTAGTTGATCCTGTGAAGTCGTCGGGGTAGTTGCCGAGTGGGTAGGTGATGTTGACCAATGATTGACACCATGTGACTCAAGTAGTCACGAGAAAAGTTGGTGAGGTGGCCGCTGCTGATGTAGTGTAGCAAGATTTCTTGAGGGAGATGAAGTTGAACGATGAGCATGGAGTTGGTGTGTGATGTGGTGAGGTGTAGTGAAGTCAAGTTGTAGTAAAAGAAGTTGAACGCTTCTGAAAGGCGTAGGCTGAGTGGTAGTGAATCGTAGAGGGGCATTCGTAGGTCTGATGGCAGGTTGTGGATTGGCCGTCGGTAGTCGAGGTCTGGCATTGGCGTGGTCTGCTGTTGGCTGAGTAGTTGATACTCCTCCAAGGTCAGCCCCACATAGACCTCAGCGTAGTTTTGTCCCTGATCCACAGTTGGAGTGTTAATGCTGTCGTACTCGACAGTAGTGAGGTGGTTCAGGATGTCATCGGGCCTGTAGAATGGTGCAGTGGTCGGTAGTTGGTGGTTGAAGTGATAGTTGAGGGCATTGTAGGCCTCAGGTGGCGGAGGTGCCACAGAGACCATGCTGCTGGAATCTGTAGTGGGTGGTTGGTTGGGTGGTGTCGAAACTCGGTCAGGTGTAGTAGTGCCAACCTGCTGCGCTGGCACAGTAGTCTCAGGCGCAGTCGTAGTCGCATCCATGGGTCCAGACATTGCTGGTAGTGCGATCAAGCAAACGAGGTGAGACGGGGCAAAGTAGTGAGCCTAATGGTAGCTCACAAAAACACATGCGGGAATGTAGTAAAACAAAACAACATGTAATGTTGTCCCAAGCCGCCCAAAAAGCCGCCAAACGTGTAAGTGCAAATTACTGGTGGTTACAATTACTGTGACTTGTAGTTACTGTTACTGTTACTTACATGCAAGTAGTTACATATGGCCATACAAACTGTTGTGGTTGATGTGAAACAGTTGTGAAACAGTTGTTGTTCGCAGTGCTAAACGCGTATGCCAATGCTCTGCATGAGCCTCTGTAGTGTTTCTTTGCTGATGTATTTGGTGAACAAGTCTGCGCTGTTGTGTAGTGTGTTAATTTTGAGGATTCTGATAATGTCGTGTTTGATGAGGTCTTGTGTGTAGAGAATTTTGAGGTCGATGTGTTTTGCTCGTTTGCTGGTGCCTTGTCGCGTTGCTATGCTTTTGCCTGCTGTGGAGTCTGTGTGAATGCGTAGGTTGAGCTTGCTGCAAATGATGGTTTCAAGTAGGAAGTTCCTGAGGTGTAGTCCCTCATTATAACTCGTGTGCATATTGCGTAAAGTTCTGATTCTGCTGAGCTTAGTGCTATTGTAGCCTGTGTTCTGCTGCCGAATGCAACTATAGTTCCAAGGAAGTGGATGTTGAAACCTGAAGTGGACTTCCTGGTAGTAGGGCATCCTGCCCAGTCGGCATCGACATGAACGTCGAGATCCAGGATGTTGTTGGTGTTTGCTCTGAGTGTTGTTGTTGGTTCTATGGTGAATTTGTAGTGCTTAGTGCCGTGCAAGTAGCGTAGTAGATGTTTGACTCTCTTTTGTGAAAGTTCTGTAGGTGCTGTGAGGTCTCGTGCTAGCTCTTTTGTGGAGCATGCAATGTCTGGTCGTGTGTATGCTAACCATTGAAGTTTGCCAACAATCCTTCTGTACCTTTTGTGTTGTTCGTGGTCAAGTAGTGCTTCATCTTCTACTGTTGGTTTGTAGTGTGCAATTCCTGGAGTGTTCACTGAGTTGCAGTTGTTCATTCCAGACTCCTTGATCATGTTGTCGATGTAGGAGTCCTTTAGTCCAAGATTGCAGTAGTTGCCAAAGTGGTCGATGTTTCTTCCAAGAATTTTTGTGGTTTGCCAGGCTCGAGGTAGCCAATGTGCTTGAGTAGTACCTGCTTCTGGATGGCCTCGAAGGTGGAGTCGACAGTAGTCTTGTCACCAAGTACCAAAAGGTCATCCACGTAGACCATGATGTAGCAGTCGCGAGTCGCATTGGTGTAGACGTTAGGTTCTGACTTTAGTCTTACAAAGCTGAGCTTTTGTAATACTTCAGCCAGGTAGTCCTGCCATGCTTTTGGTGAACTGCGTAGTCCATACATGGCTTTCTTTAGTCGCCAGATTTTGTCCTGTTGTGGACAAAGTTCTTTAGGTGGCCAAAGGTAGGCGTCACGTTGTTTACCGTCGTGGTCTTTTGCGATGGGTGCGTGTAGAAATGCTGTAGAGACGTCGCCTAGTCGCGCGATCCAGTTTGGTCGTGACATTTGTAGTGCGAGAAGTGTCCGGAGTGTCGTGAACATTGGTGTAGAGGCGTAGACGGAGTCTTCGTCCTCGATCTTCTCTGTGTAGCCTTTTGCGACGATTCGGCTTCGTACTCCTGGTCCTTTCTTTCTGTGTACCCATCTTGTAGGCATCGCTTCTCTGATGACGTTGTCGTCGACGGTAGACGCATCTACTTCGTCGTAGACGTCATGTAGCTTCATTTGGTTTGACTCGTGTTTCATTCCTTCCAGTAGTTGTGTTTCGTCGTAACCTTCGTTGTCGAAGGTTGGTCTTCTTGAGGTGTCGTCGTTTGTGTAGGGGGTGATGGATTTTCCGTTGGGAAGTGTCACTGCGTTAATTTTCTGTCGTAGTGGTGGTGGTTCTTTGGTTGCTTGCTCCGTTGATCTGATTGTAGTGTCCTTTGAGGTCTTCTGTGCTTTAGTTGGTTGCATTACTTCTTCCGGAGTTAAACGTCGTAGTGTTTGTCGAGGTGGTGCTGGTAGTGGTGGATGTTGTCGTCCGGTTGGTGAAGTAGCCATGACGCTATCTGGTAGTGGTCGTGAAGTTGACGTCGATGTTGACGGAAGGCGTGGAGGTGACGTAGTGCGTTGTTGTTTCGTTGCTGGTTCGGCAACGATGTCGTCTGCGATGTTGGTCTGTTGTCCTGCGTCTTGTGTAGGTTGTTTCTGCTGGATTTGCGTATCCAGTAGTGTCGCAAATGACGGATTGTAGATACTCCCTTTTGGTGCCCAAGGTGTACCTGAGACCTTGTTTAGTAGTGCAAGGTCATACTTGAAGTCAGGTTGTAGTCGTCTGACTGTCCTTGCTTTTAGTACGCCTTGTTCTGTTGCGACGTAGTTTTCTCCAGTCTCCGAAACCTTTCCGAGCCATATGCATTTCTGCATACGTAGATCGGCTTTCGGAAGTTTCTTGTGCTGTGGTGGAAGGTAAAGTTTCGCCAAATTCGCAAATTGCTCGCTCGTAGTTTCTTCTCCAGCGGCGTTCGAAGCTTGTGTAGCCATCGGAGTGGATGACGTAGCGATTTACAGTCCATGCTGCGTGTCGTACTATCCAAGGTAGTAGACAATGCTTGTGGACATTGAAATGCTGTAGTTGCTTTCAACTTGCGCTTTGACGACGCGGATTTGTCCGAGAAGTGTTCTGTGTAGTCGCTCAACGCTTCCTTGACTGTTGCTGCTGTAGGATGGCGAATGTCGTACAGTCATTGAGCCGACTTTGGATGCTGTTGCTTTTAGTAGTGCATTGAGTGTGTCCTCGTCGTCGCTTTGTAGTATGCCTTGTGTTCTTCCGCATTCAAAGATGAATGCTTGTAGGTTGTTGATCATGTAGTCCATCATTGATGGTTTGTCCGGAACCAAGACCGCCATGCACAGTTGTGTAGTGACATCAACTGCTGTTAAGACTGGTATGGTCTTCGGATCTTGTTGTGATTTGATGTATGCAAAATCCACTTGGATGATGGGTTGTCGTGATTGTTGTTTCTTGTAGTTGTCCTGGCGTCCTTTGCCTTGCACGCAAATTGGACACCAATTTCTGTATGGTAGGTGTGTTAAGTTGTGCTCTGCTATTTGTTGTGGAGTTGGTTGTTGAGGTTGTCGGAGTCCTATTGCTTTGTGTGCTTCGTGCAAACTACATACAATGGTGGAACAGCACCCATGGACGTGGACAACATTTGGAGGAAAGGAAGAAACTACAAAGGCAAAAGC